GGGATTCTTTCCCGGGACTCAAACTATCTCTATGCCAAATTTCATCAAAATCGGTTGCGAGGTTTAAGCGGGAAAGCGTAACAGACAGACAGACAGACAGACAGACAGAGTTACTTTCGCATTTATAATATTAGTTGGGATTACGGGCTATTATCCGATATCCAAGTCCCATCTATCATCTCCTGCGGGTGATGGATTGTCGGCTCCACGCCGAGCTAATTGCTTGTTCAGTTAGTCATTATGATATTGATTGAGATGTTTTGGGAGTAGACGGCCGACCGTAATTGTTGAGCTGTTGCAGGTCGTAGATTAATTAAGGTTCAGTTTACTTATAAATGAGCGGTTGGATGGGGATTTGAAGAGTTTACTTGATCAACGCTCATAGTAGTGAAGTTTACTGGACGATTAATAATGCCATCACGATTTTAGACATGAAACGTAAATCACTAGAAATGCTGAACATTTCTACGAGTACCAATTTACGGACATAGATTGAAGATGTTCTTTTGTTTTCAATGCAGTCCAGTGGCAGCGTCGATCGTGTTTTGTCTTTTATTCGAAAATCTGGTTACGGTGGTACCTAGTGGTACCGCCTTTTGTTTTTTGACTACGTGAGCACGGTAATACTATCATACAGTATTGTAACTTCATATAAACGAACGAAACGCGAGCTTTCCTTCGAAATTCAAATCTCGGTATGCGCTCGACATGCAAAAGTCAGGGGTGTCGCGAATGTGCCAGCGTAATAAACGGACGATGTGTTTTTTTATAAAAATAATTACAAGTAACTATTTATACAGGGTGTTAGGTAAATGGGTTTATAAGCCGCCACTAGCTCATGTTAACATTTATGCATGTAAATGGTATGGTGAAGTCAGTGATATAATTTTATTTTATTTTAATTTTCATACAAAAAATTATATAAAATCAGATTGGTATGAAAATTAAAATCATTAAAATGATGATATCAATTTTGTGACTTTACCATACCATTTAATGTATATGTTAACATGGGCTAGTGTCCGCTTATAAACCCATTTACCTAACACCTTAGATTAATAAAACCTAGATAGATAGTCAGTGCACGAAAGGTGAGGCAGATTTTAGTAAGCCAGAATGGCTTACTCGTAAACGTCACATGAACTGTCAAAGTGAAAAATTGGTAAACACGTCCGACGACTTATAATTAATTAAGACGGTTTGTGCTGTGAAAGGGTGTCTAAATACATCAGAAAAACTAAAGAAAGTGACCAGTGTTACATTTCATAAGTAAGTACTACGATTCGACGCGTATTTTGCTTGAATTTGGCTTTCAAAAATTAAATACGGGAATGATACCAGTAACAAGAAAATTTATTTCCCAATTGTTCGCCGTACAAATACACTTCCTTTTTTATGAAATCGAGACTTTTCAGTCGATTTATCTTATTGTAATTAGGTAGGTACTTTGAATTCAATAAATAAGTAAGTACATGATGCGTTTTGTTTTTGTTAGTTATAAAATAATTAAAAACGTATTAAAAATTTCCCTACTTTCGGGAAAATCGCCTTCACTGTCTACACTCCCCAACAAAATTGACACTAATGACATAAGATTTTTGCCTCACTCTTGACGAAGCGTTTGTATGAAGACTATCCATCTAGGTTTTATTAATCTAAGCTTAACACACTGTATAACAATCAAGCGTTTTGTACGCCTCAGTCGAGGCGCATACATTTTACGGTCGCAAATTTATAAGATTTGTTACTAAATCTTAACACAAATATATTTTTTTAATTAAATCTACTAATGACAACACAACATGAATTTTTATCCTATTTCATTCACTAAGTATTTTGTTTGTCAAAATAAAATAAAAAATTACAATCACAAAATACATTCACAAAACTAGATAGAATAAGTAGCCAAATGTTATGAAAATAGGGTTTGCAGGTGGGCAGCCCTATCGCATGTTGTCATACGGTGACGTATAGTTCCAAAATACTGGACTGTCCTGTCGATGACATTGACAGTGGGGCGCCACCGTCAATACCGGATCGCTGATTTTTGCCATTGCCATGTTGGAAACCATATAATTGAACGATGGTAGCGCCCCCCTGTCATTGAGTTTGGCGGGACAGTTCAGCGTGGGTCATCTATACCGCGCGGCTGTTGACATTTATTTCAAAAATATGACCGAGTTGGAATACTGTATAGATAGTATTACCGTGACGTGAGGCATAGTCTTTTGTTTTTCTACGTGCATTCCTGTCAAAAGTGTTCAAGGACACTTTCTTGCTGGCGCGTGATAGGCGTCGCTCGCGGCGACTTCTCTAGGGGCAGTTTGAGCTTCTTCTTCGATTTGTCTAGCGATCGTTGTGTTTTATTTTTTGTTCGAAACAAATGTTACCTTACCAGTCAAAAGTGTCCTTAGAGCTCTCGCTGGAATGTGATAAGTGACACTCGCGGCCCGTCTTCGCTAGGCGACTTCTCTGGGGGCAGTTTGAGCTCTTTTTCTGGGGGTAGCTTGAGCTCCTTCTCCGAGTTGCTGCTGGAGTAGGAGCTCTTATCTTCACTCTCCAGGGTCGATTGTGTTTTGTTTTTTATAAAAAAAAACGTTACATTGGTATCGTCCTTTGTTGTCTTACCTGTCAAAAGTGTCCTTTGAGCTCTCGCTGGCATGTGATAGGCGTCGCTCCCGGCGCCCGTCCTCACTTGGCGACTTCTCTGGGGGTAGCTTGAGCTCCTTTTCTGGGGGTAGCTTGAGCTCCTTCTCCGAGTTGCTGCTGGAGTAGGCAGTGGCGGCGTAGCATGGGGTGGCACCCGGGGCGGATCACCCCCCCCCCCCGTCATAAGTCCTAAGGCACCCCCTGGTACCCCTCAGGATTTTGGTTTCCTACCGATTCGAAGATTGAAAGATAATCGCACCCCCCCGTATCATGACATAGACCGCAGATTTGCCATGCAGATGTGCCAGTGAGTACTAATCTTCGCGACTTGTGTCACCCCCTGATGCTTGGCACCCGGGGCGGACCGCCCCCACCGCCCCCCCCTTACGCCGCTACTGGGAGTAGGAGCTCTTATCTTCACTCTCCAGGGTCGATTGTGTTTTGTTTTTTATAAATAAAAACGTTACATTGGTATCGTCCTTTGTTGTCTTACCTGTCAAAAGTGTCCTTTGAGCTCTCGCTGGCATGTGATAGGCGTCGCTCCCGGCGCCCGTCCTCACTTGGCGACTTCTCTGGGGGCAGTTTGAGCTCTTTTTCTGGGGGTAGCTTGAGCTCCTTCTCCGACTTGCTGCTGGAGCGGGAGTTCTTAGGGTCGATTGTGTTTTGTTTTTTATAAATAAAAACGTTACATGGGTATCGTCCTTTGTTGTCTTACCTGTCAAAAGTGTCCTTTGAGCTCTCGCTGGCGTGTGATAGGCGTCGCTCCCGGCGCCCGTCCTCACTTGGCGACTTCTCTGGTGGCAGTTTGAGCTCCTTTTCTGGGGGTAGCTTGAGCTCCTTCTCCGACTTGCTGCTGGAGCGGGAGCTCTTATCTTCACTCTCCAGGGTCGATTGTGTTTTGTTTTTTATAAATAAAAACGTTACATTGGTATCGTCCTTTGTTGTCTTACCTGTCAAAAGTGTCCTTTGAGCTCTCGCTAGCACGTGATAGGCGTCGCTCCCGGCGCCCGTCCTCACTTGGCGACTTCTCTGGGGGTAGTTTGAGCTCCTTTTCTGGGGGTAGCTTGAGCTCCTTCTCCGACTTGCTGCTGGAGCGGGAGTTCTTATCGTCGCTGTCCCGCTGCGATTGTGTTTTGATGATTATGCTGGGATACCAGCATAGACGATAGTCTTTTGTCTTACCTGTCAAAAGTGTCCTTGGAGCTCTCGCTGGCACGTGATAGGCGTCGCTCCCGGCGCCCGTCCTCACTTGGCGACTTCTCTGGGGGCAGTTTGAGCTCTTTTTCTGGGGGTAGCTTGAGCTCCTTCTCCGACTTGCTGATGGAGTGGGAGCTCTTATCTTCACTGTCCAGGGTCGATTGTGTTTTGTTCTTTATTCGAAAACCTGGTTACACTGGTATCGTCTTTTGTCTTACCTGTCGAAAGTGTCCTTGGAGCTCTCGCTGGCACGTGATAGGCGTCGCTCCCGGCGCCCGTCCTCACTTGGCGACTTCTCTGGGGGCAGTTTGAGCTCCTTTTCTGGAGGTAGTTTGAGCTCCTTCTCCGAGTTGCTGCTGGAGTGGGAGCTCTTATCTTCACTCTCCAGGGTCGATTGTGTTTTGTTTTTTATAAATAAAAACGTTACATTGGTATCGTCCTTTGTTGTCTTACCTGTCAAAAGTGTCCTTTGAGCTCTCGCTGGCGAGTGATAGGCGTCGCTCCCGGCGCCCGTCCTCACTTGGCGACTTCTCTGGGGGCAGTTTGAGCTCCTTTTCTGGGGGTAGCTTGAGCTCCTTCTCCGAGTTGCTGCTGGAGTAGGAGCTCTTATCTTCACTCTCCAGGGTCGATTGTGTTTTGTTCTTTATTCGAAAACCTGGTTACACTGGTATCGTCTTTTGTCTTACCTGTCAAAAGTGTCCTTTGAGCTCTCGCTAGCACGTGATAGGCGTCGCTCGCGGCGCCCGTCTTCGCTTGGCGACTTCTCTGGGGGCAGTTTGAGCTCCTTTTCTGGGGGTAGTTTGAGTTCTTTTTCCGACTTGCTGCTGGAGCGGGAGTTCTTATCTTCACTGTCCAGGGTCGATTGTGTTTTGTTTTTTATAAAAAAAAACGTTACATTGGTATCGTCCTTTGTTGTCTTACCTGTCAAAAGTGTCCTTAGAGCTCTCGCTGGAATGTGATAAGTGACACTCGCGGCCCGTCTTCGCTAGGCGACTTCTCTGGGGGCAGTTTGAGCTCCTTTTCTGGGGGTAGCTTGAGCTCCTTCTCCGAGTTGCTGCTGGAGTGGGAGCTCTTATCTTCACTCTCCAGGGTCGATTGTGTTTTGTTTTTTATAAATAAAAACGTTACATTGGTATCGTCCTTTGTTGTCTTACCTGTCAAAAGTGTCCTTTGAGCTCTCGCTAGCACGTGATAGGCGTCGCTCCCGGCGCCCGTCCTCACTTGGCGACTTCTCTGGGGGCAGTTTGAGCTCCTTTTCTGGGGGTAGTTTGAGCTCCTTCTCCGACTTGCTGCTGGAGCGAGAGCTCTTGTCGTCGCTGTCCCTCTTCGGCCTCACTGGCGACAAGCTGCCGGGCTTGTCATGTTTCTTCACCTCCATACTGCGCGCGTCATCGTCGAGCTCTTCTGGAACAAGAGATGCCATTTATGAACAACATGGCTAACAAATGGTTAATTATAGACCGATTTTCGTAGACAAGTTTATCCGATCTATTAAAACGAAGAAGATTCATACCTAAGTCGTCCAATCTTTCATAACATCTTTTTTTTAGGTACAGAAACAAACTTTTATCGTCATTATGAAGCACAAATCTGTACCCCCAGTGAAAACGGAGTTAAGTCGAAAATGGTGATTTTTGGGAAATCGCATTTGAAGTTAANAAAATCGCCTTCACTGTCTACACTCCCCAACAAAATTGACACTAATGACATAAGATTTTTGCCTCACTCTTGACGAAGCGTTTGTATGAAGACTATCCATCTAGGTTTTATTAATCTAAGCCTAACACACTGTATAACAATCAAGCGTTTTGTACGCCTCAGTCGAGGCGCATACATTTTACGGTCGCAAATTTATAAGATTTGTTACTAAATCTTAACACAAATATATTTTTTTAATTAAATCTACTAATGACAACACAACATGAATTTTTATCCTATTTCATTCACTAAGTATTTTGTTTGTCAAAATAAAATAAAAAATTACAATCACAAAATACATTCACAAAACTAGATAGAATAAGTAGCCAAATGTTATGAAAATAGGGTTTGCAGGTGGGCAGCCCTATCGCATGTTGTCATACGGTGACGTATAGTTCCAAAATACTGGACTGTCCTGTCGATGACATTGACAGTGGGGCGCCACCGTCAATACCGGATCGCTGATTTTTGCCATTGCCATGTTGGAAACCATATAATTGAACGATGGTAGCGCCCCCCTGTCATTGAGTTTGGCGGGACAGTTCAGCGTGGGTCATCTATACCGCGCGGCTGTTGACATTTATTTCAAAAATATGACCGAGTTGGAATACTGTATAGATAGTATTACCGTGACGTGAGGCATAGTCTTTTGTTTTTCTACGTGCATTCCTGTCAAAAGTGTTCAAGGACACTTTCTTGCTGGCGCGTGATAGGCGTCGCTCGCGGCGACTTCTCTAGGGGCAGTTTGAGCTTCTTCTTCGATTTGTCTAGCGATCGTTGTGTTTTATTTTTTGTTCGAAACAAATGTTACCTTACCAGTCAAAAGTGTCCTTAGAGCTCTCGCTGGAATGTGATAAGTGACACTCGCGGCCCGTCTTCGCTAGGCGACTTCTCTGGGGGCAGTTTGAGCTCTTTTTCTGGGGGTAGCTTGAGCTCCTTCTCCGAGTTGCTGCTGGAGTAGGAGCTCTTATCTTCACTCTCCAGGGTCGATTGTGTTTTGTTTTTTATAAATAAAAACGTTACACTGGTATCGTCTTTTGTCTTACCTGTCAAAAGTGTCCTTGGAGCTCTCGCTGGCACGTGATAGGCGTCGCTCCCGGCGCCCGTCCTCACTTGGCGACTTCTCTGGGGGTAGCTTGAGCTCCTTTTCTGGGGGTAGCTTGAGCTCCTTCTCCGAGTTGCTGCTGGAGTAGGCAGTGGCGGCGTAGCATGGGGTGGCCCCCGGGGCGGATCACCCCCCCCCCCCCGTCATAAGTCCTAAGGCACCCCCTGGTACCCCTCAGGATTTTGGTTTCCTACCGATTCGAAGATTGAAAGATAATCGCACCCCCCCGTATCATGACATAGACCGCAGATTTGCCATGCAGATGTGCCAGTGAGTACTAATCTTCGCGACTTGTGTCACCCCCTGATGCTTGGCACCCGGGGCGGACCGCCCCCACCGCCCCCCCCTTACGCCGCTACTGGGAGTAGGAGCTCTTATCTTCACTCTCCAGGGTCGATTGTGTTTTGTTTTTTATAAATAAAAACGTTACATTGGTATCGTCCTTTGTTGTCTTACCTGTCAAAAGTGTCCTTTGAGCTCTCGCTGGCATGTGATAGGCGTCGCTCCCGGCGCCCGTCCTCACTTGGCGACTTCTCTGGGGGTAGTTTGAGCTCCTTTTCTGGGGGTAGCTTGAGCTCNTATAAATTAAGTTACATTCTTTTTCACCAACCAACAATACATAGTTTTTTTTGTGTATATTAATATGAGTCATCTTATATTGTTAATCACAAATTCAATCTGAACAACTTCAATCGTGTAAAAAGTAGTAACACGAGTCGTACCTCTTGACACAATAAAAAATTGAAAGAAGCCTCCGGTACACTTTGTTAAAAGTAGACATGTATCAATATACACGAAAGAAAACTCAAAATTGGTTCACAAAGCCTTACTTGTATCATTTGGCACAAAATTATTTTCTTTTCTATACGTCGTAGAAACATACCGATTAGATACAAAAATAGCTAATTTTTCAGAGATTCACATTATGTTATAAAGTCAATTTTGATCTAAGTCGAGTTAGATCCCTTTTCACTGGGGGTACAGAAATAATTCAATATTCTACTTATGCTAAAGCTAAGTTATCTTATGTAGATAATTAAAAATCCTTAGGTATCTACTTCTCCCATCTAACCTTAATCAATTTTTCAAGGTACATTGCAAAAAAGTACTAGTTCCAAAGAGAAGTATACACAAACTAAGCACTACGGCCCAATCAAAGGCTAAATGCAGGCAGGTAAAACCCAGCATAACAAAACAATATGCATTTTACATTCCAATTCAACCTAACGTGCCTTAATCAAGTTGTCGAAGAGCTGCTACAGTCCGTATGTCAAGCTTAAATTTTCATTTCAAATTAGTCCGTTTCTTTCTGCGGTATTCGTTTTAATAAAATAACACCGCGGTGGACCGTGCCTTGCATTATTGATAGTTTGGTTACAACGCAGAAAGGTGGAGTAAGGACCATGTAACATAATAAATATGACTGTATACTCATAACAAATAAGGTATTTCTCGTCCTACAGAGCTGCTTTAAAGGCTTAAACAAAGAATGTAACGAAGAATCTTAAAGTGATGACTTGGTAACAGCTTTTAAGTAGGTAAATCCTTATTGATTCAGGAATAAGTTAGCCTAGACATTCATCTAAAACTCTCAGTGGTTGCCAGTTAGAATCTCTTGAGCTTTAAAACATAAATAAAAATTTTAAGCATGTTCTCGTCTTCAAATGGGCAGACACTGTTGAAAGATGAAGAGTTACAAAGATAAAGTTTACTGTTTTATTATTCTTGATATTTACATATTTATTCCATTAGAAATAAACGTTACATTGTTATAATCTACTGTTTTCTGAATCGATTGTGGTTAGGTCGAGGGGCAAGCGGATCAAGGGACTTGGACACGATGTTGTCTGCTCTTCATAAAACGTGTTCGGCCACGAAAAAACAACTTCTACAATTTAAACCCTCGGAAATAACACTCAAAATGGAAAGGAGAACCGCAAAAAAACCGTATGCCAATGGGAATAGGGATTAAAACTGTCAGCTTACATTTCCACGAGGTTTTCGGCATTTCAGTCGACTGAATTTCCGTTGTCTGTTAACACTTTTTTCATTTCAAAACAACGGTTCTCTTAAAGCTAGGGATTAAAGTGGGGCAAGTTAAACTGATTACGGAGATGCAGTTATTGTTTCATTATGCTTTGTGGTTCAAAGGTAAACTAACTAACTCAGGTACATACATCAGCAGCTTGAGATATCATACTTTTATTGCAAAATCGCTCCTATTTAAACTACATTAGATTCCACGTCACGTTTAATGTAGGTGCCGTCGTTTGTACTTTGTTCTGCAGTTGCCGTTCGTCATAAAGAAGTTTATTAGTCATAAAGACGATGCAATTAAGGTAAATTGTAGGTACCTAATTATTTAATTCATTTTGTTGTAAGTCATTTATCTCTTAGATGCATTTGAACTGTTTAATGGACATCATTAAGATTATCTGTCGCCAAATCTATGTTACTGTAAAAAACGAGTAGATGTTACAGTCAAAAGTGATTACTGATGATCATAGGCATCGGACAAAACCACTTTTGCAGTCATAAGTGGTTATGACCGATTATGAGTTTTGACTGTAAGTAACATCTACTCGTTTTTTTTGCACATTAGTACTTAATGCACAGGAAAATCGCGGTGACGTTGTGGAAGTACGTTTTTACGTTTTCAAAACGATTGAAAAACTCAATGCTAGGTACTCGTGAATCCAATATTAGCAAATTGGTTCTGCCAGAGCAGATATTCGAGTACCCTCAGCCTGAGGGGTTCGTAGCGACGCTGACTTTCTTGAAACTAGTCTAAATAGCTTTTAAATAAATGACCGTTAGCTCGTTTCTTCGAAGTCAAATCCATCTACTAAACTAAAGACTTGTGAGAATCTAAAAAAACATAGAAATGGAATAACGAAAGGAAATACTAATGTTAACGCGAAATTAATTAAATTATTGTCGATTTGCCGTAGAATCAAACTAGTATGCCTATTTTGAGACAGGTATCTAAAAAGGGTAAATATTAATAAAGAATTTGAATTTGAGTAGACTCGTGTTTGGGAAAAAGTATATGTAAAGACAGACACACTTTATAAACTCGTGTATATTTCTCGAGACAAATAAATCCCAATATACGGTGTATTTGACTCTAAAATTGTCTTATTGGTTTTGAAGGGTTCACATCAGTTATCCGTTACAATCCTTAGAAAATTTAATTAATACATAACCATTGTCGAGGCTATTATTTGCGAGTACCTTCACTGGGTCTCGGTTACAGTAATTACTATGGGGTATACAGAGTGATATTTTGTAATGCCACTTGGATGAAAGTACTCTTAATACTGTAGATAGAAAATTTTACTAAAAGAAAACATTCCTTTATTTTTGAAAAGAAAGAGAACTGCATTCAAAGATTTTCAAATTTTTTTCGAAAATTCACTACCATACCATACAATTTTCTGTTCATAATTAAAATTATTTGAGATTTCATGGTTTTCCTTTCATTTGATTTATCAAGTTTGTTAGAGAGATTTCATCCTTATACTTAACCCAATCTATCAATGCAATAAAAATACAGGGTGTTATTTTTAACAGATTTTAGTTGGTTCGATTCCCGGGTGTG